TTTGAAAAATTATTATTTTTCTAAAACTTTTTTTGGTAGACTATTCAACGTGTAAATAAACAATTGTTTTTCATTTCAGATCCTGTTTTCTTCACCCATCATTACAGCTACTAAGAAAAGAAAAGTAGATGCTGAGTGTCACCTTTTCAATGAAGAATGGGGAGAAAAGTACTTATTTGTGGAAACAAACAACCAGAAAGCTAGTGGCATGATATGCAACAAAAGTGTTGCCGTTTTGAAAGAGTACAATATTCGGCATCACTATGAAACAAAACATCTGTCAACATATTCGAAGTTTTCTGGAAAGTTGCGTTCTGAGAAATTTGAGTTCATGAAACGTACTTTGGAATCTCAAAGGAATCTCTTCACGAGAATGTTTGCTGAAAATGAATTTCTCACTCGTACAAGTTACAAAATAGTGTATAAGATGGCAGAGCGAGTAAAACCGTTTACTGACGGCAACTGCCTCAAAGAGTGTATGATGGAAGCAGAAAATAACTTGTTTCCTGAGAAAGCCGATTTGTTCGGAAGTATCAGCCTTTCAGCAAATTCAGCTGTGTGGAGAACAGAATAACTTGGAGAGAACATGCTATTACAGATACGCGAGAAAGCTAGGAACTTCTTGTGGTATTCTATGGTGCTGTATGACTCTACTGATCTCTCGAGTACGTCACAACTTCTCGTGTTCATTCGTGGTGTTAATTTGGACTTTCAGATCACAGAAAAGTTGGCATCCGTTTGCAGCATGCACGGAACAACAACTGGAGAAGACATTTTCATAGAAGTGCAGAAAACTTTGCAAGGCTATAACCTTCAGTGGAATCAACTTCAATGTGTTACAGTTGATGGAGGAAAAAACATGGCTGGAGTGAGGAAGGGTCTGGAGGGGCAGAAACGAACTAAGTTGGAAGATCTTCAACTCCCGTCCGCTCTGTTTATACACTGCATTATACATCAGCAATCACTCTGTGGGAAAAACTTAGATATTTCTTGCATACTGAAACCAGTCGTTTCTGCGGTAAACTT